CACTAGACCATAGTAGTTTTTGAATAATAAAGCAAATAATAATAATAGCTAATGGTTTTTGAGCACTTACTATATGCTAGGCACTGTTCCAGGTACTTTACACATATTGACCTATTTAATCCTCACAACCATTCTATAAGGTACAATCATTACCCCCTTTACAGATAAATACAGAGAGGTTCAGACAAATATCACATAGACAGTCAGCAGCAGAACCAAGATATGAACTCAAGCACTCTAGCTCTCCTTAACTGCTATACTAATTTCACATCTACCATATATGACATCTTTTTTTTTTTTTTTTTTTTTTTGTGGTACGCAGGCCTCACACTGTTGTGGTCTCTCCCGTTGCGAAGCACAGGCTCCGGACGCGCAGACTCAGCAGCCATGGCTCACGGGCCTAGCCGCTCCGCGGCATGTGGGATCTTCTGGGACCGGGGCATGAACCCGCGTCCCCTGCATCGGCAGGTGGACTCTCAACCACTGCGCCACCAGGGAAGCTCCATATATGACATCTTAGCAAACAATCACACTAAAATGGTTTAGGATTAAGTTCTCATTTATTGCACAGAGCAACTTGGAAAAGTTTTAAATGTACTTACTTGTAACGTATTTGTATCCCATACTTTCAGAGTTTTATCAAATGAGCTTGATGTGAACATGCCAGTGTCATGAGGATACCACTGTACAGTCTCCACACTATATTTGTGGACATCAGGATGGCTTCTACAAAACAGTAATCAAAATTTAGAGATAACTGATTTGAGTTTCAAAACTGATACTATATTCACGAGTAGCAGTCTCAGGAACGATGATATGAATGGCCAAACCTAGATCACATGCCATGTCCTAGCTGTCTAGAGAAAGAGAATATCTAGGCATCTCTAGTTTTAAGCTTTCACAGTATGATATGGAGGGCTGCTTCCTACTAAGGCTCATAAAATGAGAGACTTCTGATTTCAATGCTATATCCTGGAGGGATCAGCCACCTACACTGGACCGCTTCATGGAGACAGTGATTTTTCCTTACTGGAAGAGATAACTATTCTTGTTTTGGATTTGCTTTTCCTGGCCATCATTTTCTCAACACCACCATTCTTAGAGTTGTTGCCTCACATACTTCTGTGGTGTCCCACACAGTATTGCTTCTGATTAAGAACCTTACTTATACAACAAAAGAATGCAACTGGTAGATGCCCATGAGATTCACTACTCTTATGTAACACATCACCCATAGAATCATGATCTGTTGAAGACTCAGTTATGACATCAGTTACAATATAGCACCTTGTGATGATGATGTGCTATCCTGAAGGATGCAGCATATGCTCTGAACCAGTGGTCAACACAGTATGTGTCCTTTACTGAATGTTAATTGAAAGACACTGGCTGTTTAGGAACACTTAAGAGACAATGGTGGGACATTTGAACACCAACTGTATACTTAATATCAGGAATTATTATAGATGTGAGATAGTGGTAGTGGGGTTATGCTTATAAAACACCTTTTACCTTTTAGAGATACAAATAATTATGAATGAAATAATATCCTTCTGAGATTTGCTTCAAAATAATCCTCAGAGTAGCTGGGTAGGTTGGGGTAAAGATGAAACAAGACTGGTTATGACTGATAGCTGCTGAAGCTAGGTGATGGGTACACAGTTCATTATACTACTCTCTATTTTCATGTATGTTAGAAATTTTCAATAAGATAAAAGTAAACAGAAGACTACTGCAACCCTATGCAGATAGGACCATCATGAGTTCTGATTCCTTAAGGTGAAGGTCTGGATCGCAATACAGAATAAAGGGCTTGACACATGTGGTGCTACCTGAAGACCTCAAGCTGGCCTTGAGACAGCTGCAAAAAAGGACTGTAGTACCTATTCATATTTCCTTACTTTCTATGTTATGTATATACGTATATATTTTAACTAATTTCCTCTTTCTTTCCTTTTTCTTACCTCCATTATTTTATATAGGTTAACTATACAATTGAGCCCACAGGGTGCATAATCCTGATATAAGATCACATAAAACCAGTGGAAAAATAGACATTATCCTGAACTGGAGATGGATGTGGTAAATAAACAGACTTAGGGTCATAGCTCTTTGGGGAAGGGGATAATTATATTTGTCAAATAATGGATACTTGCATTAGGTCAGGCTGAAACTTTTTTTTTTAAAAGGAAGGGTAGGTATGGGAAGAAAGGTATTTACTGATATTGGACAGCCAAATGGGTGGACTGTAGTGGACATGCGCGCTTTTCTTGGCTGAACATCCAAACTTCCTTTTGGGGGGAAATTCCCTTCATTTTGTTGAAAGGCAGGGCCTTGCCTCTTGTTACATAAAGCAAGGGGCTCCAGATATTCTCTCTCCCTTGCCCTTGGCAGTGGGGGCATGAACATGTGTCCTGGGCTTCATCAATCCTGCCTGGGACTCTAAAACTCCAGCTAGTAATGCAAACCAAGGATAGTTAGCAATTATTCATAGCTGTGGAGTTGAGAATCTATGTTTGTGACATGTAGCAGAACCCAAACTAAATTGTTCCTGTGGTGTGACCTTGACTGTGTTCTCTTGTCCTAGTTTCTCTTGCTTTTCTGCTCATTTTCTACATTTGACCTTTCTGCCATTATGTGAGATATTAAATTTCTTTCCAATAAATTTCTGCTTAAGATAAACAGAACTGATTTCTACTTGTTCCTAAGAATCTACACAGAGATTTTCCAGTTTTAAATAAAATAAATCTTTAATGTAGTGATCACAAATAAAAGCTCATTTATATTTTAGATTTAAAAATAGGACAAAATATTGTATTATTCTCCTACTATGTATGATCTGTCATTCTCATTCACATTTAATAAAAATTTGGGTACAGGAATCTTTTTGGTGCTCAGAACAAACACATTAAGTAAAGCAAAAATAAATATCAGGAAACAGTCTAAGCCACATTAACTTAGTAACAATTTTTATTGAAATTATTTTTTAAAGTTAGATTATAAAGTCTTTGAATATAAAATGCTACTTTAACTCATTTTGTAAAGATGCTTACTATATGCCCATTTACCAAAGTCATGGTTTTGAAGTTAAGAATTTGAATCTAAGAAGAAAGTCATAATAAAGTAAGATTGATATCCTAAGCATTTACTTGACATCACACACCAGAAAAGCAAATCATAGCCACTCGTGGAATAACATTACATAGCAGGTGGTATATATAAAAATATTATTTTAACAGTGTTAAAATGATAGCTAAGATAAAACAAGACAAAGATGAATTTAATTAATGATTGTCTTACACTTTAGAATTTAGATTTTTTGTTTGTTTGGTGGGAGCGGAGAGAATATAAAATGGTGTAAGCCTCTTAGGAACCAAGTTCCAGAGTACTTGAAGTGGTATCTTGTTTTGTACCAAGTGTACCTATAATTATATTGCTTCCTATTTATATGATGGCTTTACAATTTTTAATATGCTTTCTAAAAGACAGTATTTAAGTCTTACAGAAAACTTATAAGAATAATAGGGCAAGTATAATTATCTCTAAGACAAAATAGTTTTGTCAGAGGCTCAGAGAAATAGTTTCCTTAAATCTGTATTTCCAAAGTGAAGCACCAGAGCCAAGAAACATTCGTAAATCTCCTCACAAATATTCCATGAACTTATGCATCTATCTAGTGCTTTGGGAACAGCTTTAATACAGAGTGGTTGCTGATATGAATGTTCATGAAGTTTTTCCTCTTGAAAACATTTTTTCCACACCTATTCTCTCTGTTAATTCAAGGTCTCCTCAAAAAAAAAAAAATCAGATCAAATACAGGAAATGAAAAAGAATTAAGTGATGATTATGAACAAATTAAAACAAAACACTTTATTAAAAACTTAAAAATAATTCTCACAAGATTGGAAAGCCAGTAAACAGTAAAAAAAATTCAAGACAGAGAAGTATGTTAAGTTAGGCAGCTTTGAGTAAATAGAGAGGTAAGAAAGGGGGGTGTGTGTGTGTGTGTGTGTGTGTGTGTGTGTGTGTGTGTGTGATTGTTAGTACATTTATGGCTTCTAGCTGTTAATCTTTTTGTTCTATTAATGATACTTGAAAAATCTAATTTGTGTTTATATTTAGCTGGAAAGACTCAAATGAGTCTTATGCTAAGTAGTCTAAAAACTAAAATTAGTTACTAAGGTGTGCTATGTAGGTGGAGAACAAAAAGAACATAACCAAAAGTTTTTTCATGTTTTGCATTTGATGCAAAAAATACTCAAATGTTTATAAATTCATGAATTACATTTTTAATACACACCTGCCAATGGAACACACTGCTTTACATGTGTAATAAGGTTGTCTGCTGGAGTTCTCAAGATCATAAAGCACCATCACACCATCTGAACCACCTGATAACATGCTAATAATAAAAAAAGTTCACATTAATTTATTATTTTATATAGTTCATTTATGACCAAGTATTTCTGAAAATTACTGACCTACAAACTCAAATTTATTATGCCCATAAATACAGAGTAAATCTTCATTAGTATAGGCTGAAATAAACTAAAATTTTTAATCTAATATTTGTGGAAGAATGAGTATAGAATGATTCAATCTGTGATCAGTTAAAATTTACCTTCATGATTCCAAAAAGAAAGGTCAGTAGAAAGAAGATGGCAAAAGATACTTCTTATTTAAGGAAGTGACATATTACAAAGTCATTTTAAATGGCCTAGTTATAAATGGAATCAGACAGACCAGTTATTACTGATGCTAGCTACCTGACCCTGGGCAAGTTACTTCACCTAAGGTTTTTCCTTGTGAAAAGTGGGACATTTTCACCTAAACCATAAAGTTGATACAAAGATAAGTCACATGCAAAGGGCTTTTATACTGCCTGGCAAAAAATAGGGGATCCATAAGTGTTAGATTTCTTCTCTCCATTATGAATGCATTTACTCAACTCATTCAATTTTGAGCTTCTGCAATATGCTAGGCGTTATGCCAATTCAACTATGAACAAGACAGGCATGATTCCTGATGCCCCAGTTTACAATCTAACAGGGAAAACACATAGATTTGTGAATTTAATTTATATATCTATATATGTAAACATTTATGCATCTATATAAAGTATTGCTATTTGTTAGTATTACTGCTCACCATCAATTCTGGTGCTGTCTCTATTCATTCTTGTTCTGATTTTAGTCTCCAGTAGATTCTTAAGAAAGGCCTAATGAGAACAACACTCCCTGAATTCTTGTATGTTACTGATAATTAGTCCCTTTGTACTTGAAAATTAGTCTGGTTGGATATAAAATTCTTGACTCACATTTTATTTCCTTGAACATCTTAGAAAAGAAACTTCATTTCTTTGAGCATAAAGCTCAAAATCAAAGTCTGGTTACAATATGATTCTCTTTC